TTTTCCTGCCTTGGCCGCCTCGTGCCGCCCCTTGCCCCCAGGCCCTGCTCGCCGCCAGCCTCACCCCTTGCCCCCCGCAGGGCCAGGGCCAGGGCGCCCCTCTGAGGTCCGTGGCGAGCAGCGCCCGAGAGCCCGAGCGGCCAGTGGCGGAGGGGGTGGACGCGAGGGGCTCTCCACTGCCTGTCTCAGTAACCGCCTGGGCTGCCCTGGCCCCCGCCCTGCCGCCCCCCACAGGCCCAGGCTCTACCGGCTGCGGCCGCGTGGGCATCACGGCGAGAACCCAGCCGAGCTGCCAGGCCCGTCCTCCAATGCAAACATGAGCCCGGTGGTGGGAGAACCAGCACGTGGGAGCGGGTTCCCGCCGGCCATGGCTCCTGTGTGAGAAGCCGGGGGAAGCAGTGAGATGCTGCGGCACAGTGCTGGGCTTCTAGCTCCTTTATTCTCTGGAGGCAAAGAGGCTTTTCTTGACAAAGGGGGAGGAGCATCATGCAGCCCCTCCCAGACACCACAGCTAGCGGGAGGATAGGTTTGCTCACAGGCACATCAGCCTCTGAGGTTCTCTTAACAAAGGGGGTCAGGCAGGCAGGAGCACGCTAACCTCGTCGTGCACTGGGATAAAAGAAGAGTGTTCCTGCCATCAAATGGTGCAGTTGCTCTCTCCGAAGCGCCGGCACTTCATCAGTTTCAGATAGGTCTCCACCTTGTGCAGGTCTTTCTTGAAGCAGGACAACAGGCCGTAGTTTTTTAACAAGGCGTCTTCGTTCCGGAGATTGATGTCAAATTTGTCATAAGTGGGTCTGAGGACTTGAAATCCCCGGAGGCTTCCATCTTCCAGCTCCTGTGGGGACATGGCAGCTTAGATGGGAGGGAACGGCTCTTGGGCTGGCATATCAGAGCCCAAAGGCCTGGGACCATGGAAACAAATGCCAAGGTGCCAGCACGGCTCAGTGCCTCCCAGTCTCAGCACTCCTGAAGAAGGTGCTTTCACAGGCACAGAAAGCCGGAGACAGCATTTAGGCAGGTGGTGTGGTGTGGGCTTAGCACACTTGCATTGGTGCTTTTGAGAGTTAGCACTGGCCTGCGAGAGGGAGTGTGCTGGGGAGAGGAGCTGCTGTCAAACCCAGCATACCCCCTCAGGCAGTTGGGAGGGAGGGGGAGAGGTGGGGTGGAAAGGAGGGGCAGAAGGGAGTAGGTGATGTGGGTCGCCCTCTATGAATTTTACCAAAGGGTGCGCAGGATGCAAGCTCCTCTTTGGGATTCCTGTAGACCTTGGGATGGTCCCTTACCTGCTGCTTCCCTCCCCCGTTCCATTTTCTTCTTGTAGACTTCAAGCACATACAGTATGTTTAAAATCCATGGTTCTCAATCTAGCCCCCCATGTTACAACAGAAGATAGTTTCCCATCTAGCCATAAAGGAGGTGGGTACCGTGTTGCTGTTCAGAGCTCATGTTCCACTTGTGCACATTCTTTCACATACACATTTTCACAAGTAGAGCAATTATACATGTACGGTTGTGGACGTATTAAACTATAGTCTTCAGGAAGAAAGCTAGACAGGGCCCCGGACAAGACACAATGGTGAGCGGATGCATGTATGAAACAGGCTGGAGACTGCCTAGGTGTCTCAGTAACACAGCTGGCCAAAGCGCTCACTTTGGTGAGCTGGTGAAATAAACCTCTTTTCTCTTTAACACTTTGCAGTCCCAGTGGAGAAATCTTTAGCTGATGTTACCAGGCTCCTGCTGCTCCTGGCTGAAAAGATTTGTGCACCAGCTGGAGCTTTTTTAGCTTTTTTGGCCAGGTAAGCACTGCTTGAAATGGAAACCTGATTATTTGACTGGCTTCTCAGCATCACTCTGCCCAGGATTTGAGTACAGGTGTACGTGGAGTGCTGTTGATGTGTGAGAAGGAAAGAACCCAGCTTGACTCTCAGGGCCAGACTTTTTTAGTTGCCTAAAGATGCAGCTGGATATGTAGGTGTCTAACTCTCATGGGACTCCCAAGACACTTCTGAAAATCCCACTCAGCTGCTGTCTGCATCTTTAGGCACCTAAATATTCTTACAGATCTGGGTTTCAGAGCCCAGGCTGAGTTTGCAATGCTGGCAGTGTGGGAAAAATCCCCACCTTTTACTTATAAACTGAGCACACTCGAAATCCCTGAGAGACCATAAACACTTTCACATTTTAAAAAGGCACTTTTCAGAGTAGAACCACTATAAAGCGGCTGGGCTGAGAAGCATTGATTCTCCAGGGAAGGGGTGGGACAGATGATCCCTCTTTTTATAAAACTCCATACTCCCAGTGATGGAACACACACATTTCAGGACAGAAGCCTGCACTCCTTACAGCTTTTTGATATTGTTGTAACAATCAGCTTCAGCAGAGTGTAACACATGTGTAAGGGCATGGAGAATCGGGTCCCCCAGTGTGAAGTTTAGACTATCTGTGTTCTCCACGGATTGTAGTATAGAAAGACTTTCTTGTATCAGTGCATCTCACATGTGGCCACTTGAGCATGGAAATGACAAAGAAACAAGCAGGTGCAAGCTCATGCCAATGATTATTTAGGTTACACATCGTTAGGAATATCAGCAGAATACTGAAAAAACTAGGCGCCTCCCATTGCTGCGGTGGAGTTAAGATTGCTTGGGGACACATACATTTGCTTCTTTTTTTTTTCCTCTGCAACTGATAATTTTCTAAACTTCTGTTTGTTTTTGCAAAATATTACAGGGCATATTTACGTTAACACTGACAAAGTATTTTGTCAAGGGATATAGCAATCTTTCTTCTAGTGCCACTTACAAGACAGATATATCCTATTAAAATATTGTTTAATTATAGGCTTGGAAAGGACTTTCTAGTCTGTTCTATACTATTCTATTCTTTATTGGTTTTTATACCGCACTCATCACCATAGTATCTGAAAGCCTTCCAATACTGCAGTAAGCAATGTGACTCGCATCTGTCATGTGTGTGTTCATTCATCCTCTCCCAGGGGGACAAGAGTGTGAAGGGGAGCATTTTGTTTTTATTTTTTTCATTTCTGTATCTGTACACAGTGTACACTCCCCCCTCCCCCTCCCTCATACCCCTACCCCAATGGTCAACTAGTTAACGTGTTGCCAATTTAGTCGTTTTCCAACCCCCCTGTAAATTCAAATACCACCTCTATAATTTTATTTCTTGGGGAAAACACTGGTCTACACGTACGTGTTGCCATATGTTTATGTTCGAGAAGGAAGGTCAAAGAAATGCACCTTGCATTTGGAGCGGGAAGTGGGGAAGTTTGGGATGGTCTCTAGTCCCTGGGCGCGTCTTGAGCCAGCCCCCAAGAAAGCTCTGTCTGCTGGAGTCGGGGAGAGCCATATGATTCTGTAATCATGTCACATGCTGCTGCTTACCCTCATCAGAGCTTGGATACCTTCTTCTAAGTCTCTCAGTTTTTCGTAGACTCTGTCTGAGGTGCCAAACACAAGGCTGTTGGTGAACACCCTGCTTAGGAACTGCACGGGGTTTAACCAGGACTGAATGAGAATCAGTGAAAACCGAAGCAGCTCCATGTCCTGAAATGAAAATAAATTGGGGTCAGAGCTCTGCAGGAAAGGTGTCTTCTAAGCAACAGGCATGTGCTTTCCACTCTGAAACAGAATGTGACTGAAATGAACTCTGGAGCACTGATTTGCTTAAACTGAGATAAAGCCATACGTGGTCTGGGGAGCATCACCCAGAAATTCTCTTCTGTGTGGACAATATACTGCCCAAGCCTTCCCGATGTGTGATTTGTTACAGTTTATACCATAGCTGAAAACAAAGCCTGTCCTCTCCCTATGCAGTACCCTTCAAGGTCACTCATGGTGAAAAGGGCGATGCAAAGAGCAGTGTCTCTCATAAAGCACCCTTCATCCCAGAGCATTTTACACACCTTACATATGCCAGAATTGCTTTACCCCCAAAGGAGGTGGAATGTGGCATCTATCTAAGAGCTACACTACATGACTGCTTGGGATAGGAAGTGAGGAATCCTGATGATTCTACAAGGGGAGTTTAAAGAGACAGACTGGAATTCTCCAAACTAGAATTTGGCCAGGACACCTGGAACAACTCCTGCTCAGAAAAATGCCACAGGATGGTTAATGAGCACAAGTGGCTAAGGGCCTTTTGCTTTTATCTCCCGTTGGGAAGTTAGCAACCTCCCCTGAGTACCATGTTGGGGCACTTCCTGCAGTAGCCTGAACTTGATCCTCAGAGGTCTCCTCTTCAGGTACTGTCCAGGGCCAGCCCAGTTTAGCTTGGCTATAGTTTTCCAGTGCAGGCACTAAGGAGCTACCTCAGACAATGCAGAGTCCTGTTGGAAACCCTCTTTTCAGAAGCGGCTCTGCTGCCGGAATGTATTTGCCAGTAGAAGACAACTTACTGATTTCTGCTGGGCATCATCCTTTCCTGTGGGAGCAGGAATGGTTTCTGAATAACAAAATGCTGATTGGGAAATTTTGTTGGAATGCCTCTGCTCCTCTGGAATATAGGTCCGTTCCTGTGAAAACATCCCAAACACACTGAGAACTGCTCTTGCTCGTGCCCTGGGAAGGGGCCTGGGACCCTTCTCCCCAGGCTGAACCGAACTGTACTGTTAACAAGATAGGACAATGAAACAGAAAGTGACAGCTGCTGTGAAGGGCTGGCAGGTGGGAAATGGCATGCAGTTCCATTGATGAGCTAACATGTTGGCCAACTAGTTCCTAAGGCTAAAGATCACCCTCTGACTAGATCTGTGCTATGAAATAACACATGCAATATTCAGTTTAGCTTCTCAAAGGAAGGACATGACAAAGGGAGGACAAAGGAGCACCCACGGGGAAAAATTGGTGGGTGCTTAGCACCCACCAGCACCTCCCCGGCCCGCCCCAGCTCGCCTCCACTCTGCTTCTGCCTCTTCCCCTGGGCGTACCGCCGCGTCCTGCTTCTCCCCCCTCCCTTCCAGCGCTTGCGCTGCGAAATAGCTGATTCGTGTGGCAAGCCTGGGAGGGAGGTGGGAGGAGGGGGAACGCGGTGCACTTGGGGAAGAGGCAGGGCTGGGGCAGGGATTTGGGGAAGGGGTCGAATAGGGGCAGGGAGGGGGCGGAGTTGGGGCGGGGACTTTGGGGAAGGGATTGGAATGGGGGTGGGGCAGGGCCGGGGAAAGGGTGGAGTCGGGGGGGGGGCGCGAGCACCCACCGGCGCCAGGGAAAGTTGGTGCCTATGATCCCATTTGTATTTCTGCAAGCTAAGGTAGCAAAAAACAGATGATTTTGGAAAGCCGAAGGTCTGCCAGCTCCATATGTAAATTATACACTCCTTGGACACAGTAAGTCTTGTAAAGATGTGTCATCTCCCATGGCTTGCAGGGGCGCTGATGCCAGGTTCCCCTTAGTGAAGGTGGCTGAGCCACTCTGGGCTTTGGAAACTGAACTGTAATGCCATGAGGGGACAAGGAAATGTGGAGGGTGAGAAGGAGAATGGGGGGGCAGGGAGGGCAGGGAAACGTGAGGAAGAGGGAGGAGACGGGTGCAGGAAGAAGATTAAAGGTGGTTGCTGGGAAAGGTGGAAGACATGAGGGATGTATGGGAATATGGAGATTGGGATATAAATGAGTTTGGAACCCCTGCCCAGGATTGGAGAGAATTCCACAAACTGAACATGTTTGTGGGGAAAGATGATCCCATTTTCAAATAACCTGGGAGTCCAATGGCCCGACCCCGTGATACTTACGAACTCTTTGTATGTGTCAGCAGCCAGCAGGTGGAGGTGCTGGGCCCTCAGCACGGCATTGGCAAACAGACTGGAGAGGGGCATGGCAGGGAAAGCTGCTGCCCCCCGGGGCCACTGCAGCCCCAGGATGATTGCAACAAAGAGCAGAGGAGAAAAATATGACCCTGCAAAAGAAAGGGGAGGTGTCAGTAATCCTGGGGGCAGTGGCCTAATTACTGTTGGGGGTGAGTGGGGGGGAGGCTACAACGAAGCCCCTTTCATCCTCTGCTCTTTCCAGGGCTGGCACATAGGGGAAGCTGATGGTGTGGGGGGGTCCAAAGGGGCAGCTGGTGACTGCTTCATACATTTAAGACCATTTTGATGATCTTTTTTCACCTCCTGTGTAGCACAGGCCAGACAACCTCAACCAGGGATTCCTGCATCACGCCCAGAACTTCTGGCTGAGTACCTCTCCAAAAGATACCCAGTGCTGCCTGACTGACCACAAGTGATGGCGAATGCCCCACGTCCCTGAATAAGCTGTTCCCATGATGAATTACCCTTGTCGTTACAAATGTGCTCCTTATTTCTTGTCTGAATTCATCCAGTTTCAGCTTCCATCCATTGGCTCTTGTTCTGCCTTGTCTGCTGGATCAAAGAGCCCTCTATGATCAGAAATCTTCACCTTCTGGAGGTCCTTACAGATCAGAATCAAGTCACCTTTTAGCTTTCTCTTGGACAATTAACAGACTGAGTCTTTCACTGAGAGGCCGGTCTTCCAGACCTTGAATCATTCTTGTAGCTCTTTTCCGAACCCTGGCCTTTGTACTCATTGTACTTACCCATTTGTATTACCATGAAGTTATTTCTGTATAAAATAAACTGGATTAGACAAGCAATATGCAAGTACAGTGCCAAAGGGACAGACCTTTTCTTGTATTTTTAAGATTCTCTCATGCTCATCCCCCACCCCCACTCTCTCCCTCTGGCCTGTTCTGTGATGACTGTGGAAATTCTGCTCCACAGTTGCTGAGCCAGCATGCCCTCCTCCTTACCCAGGGCGCACTTGCTGCTTTACAAAGGGGGCAGAGAATCCTTGCCTCCATTTTACAGATGGGGAAACAGCCTTTGAGAGTTGAAAGCCAAAACTTTCAAACATGGGCACCTAAATACGAGTGTGCTGGCTCCGAAGTGCTGAGCACCCACAGCTCCCCTTGCAATCAGTGGCACCACCCAGCATGCCTGGAATTCAGGGCACTTCTTTAGGAGCCTAAATATGGATTTACAATGCCTGACTTTAGACAGCCAGATTTAAACATGTTGGTCCTAATCTCTGTGACCCAGTTCCCCCTTTGCCAGCTGGGGTACTGATACTCATACATCTTCCTGGGGTACTGGGGAGGTTTAGTTAATATTGGGGCAGTGCTTTGAAAATGTAAAACACTCTGTAATTGTTAGAGGCGTGGAGTGGATTGCATACTACGATCACAGGCTTCAGTGGACACACACTCCCCAGTACTGCAGCCCCACCTCCTCTTCTTCCCTCCAAGGGCAGAAATAAAGCCAGTCTCTTTCACCGGTGCCTGCCCAGTGCAAGCAGAAACAGAGCTTTAGTGAGGTTCTTGGATGCTGGGGCAGGCGTGTGTTGGGGGGGTAATGCTGGCAAGTGGTGCCAGGTGCAAGGTCTAATGCCAATGGATGGTGCTGGTGGTCCTGGGTTCCGAGGTGAGGTGGGTGATGCCAGTAGGTGGTGCTGGAAGTTCTGGGTACAGGTGGGAGTTGGGTGATGCTGAGCATTATGGTTGCAAAGGGGAGTTGGTGTTGCCAGTGGGTGGTACTGGGGCTTTGGGATAAACTACATTTCTATCTGATCAATGATCTAAAGATCACTGCTTAGAAATGTTTATTGATCCTGATATCATGTGTACAGGTTCCAGGGCAGTGCATCTCTGTCCTGGCTAATCCTAGAGCACCAGACTGGAAAGTCTGGCTGTCATCTCACCGGCTACGTTCCTCTTCTCAATATTTTTGTTTTATTGGATGTTAATTGTGTTCAAAAGTTCCTCAAAACACACGGAAAATCTCTTTGTCCCTCTCCCACCAAAGCCTTTTGAGTCTTACGCAGCTGATATTGTTTCTGGACGCCGCTGTTCTTCTTTCCCGGCTGAGGAGGAGCCCTCATGGTCCTATGAAACTTAAGAGATTTCATCATCCCTCCCCCATGGTGTCCAACATTTTCTCCATCAGGCCTTGTCTGCACTCAGAAGAAGGGTGTATAGACTAACATGAGGTAAACTAGTGAAGACTAGCCAGTTGTAGAATTAACATATGTTAACTGTGTTTACCTCAACCTGCTAATGTGTGTGAAAACTATACATGGCATTGGCTTCACTGTGATGTTCCCTTGTGTTAGTTAGCTAACACCAGAGAAGAACACACCTTTCTCCTAGTGTGTAGTTGAGTGTGGATTTCCTCATAAAAAAGAGGAAATTCTCATCCCCTGACATCATGATTCTCAAATGGCTTCTTTGGGCATGGGAACAGTAAGTGAGGGACAAATATAAACATTTCCGGGTAAGTGAAATTACTGAGCAATCTTGCATTGTTAATATTCGGTAATAATGAACACAGTCTTTACAATAACAGATGAGATGAGCCAGACTTCATAAACTGGTCATTCCGAGGACTGGCTTCCTTCTACTTCAGTTCCAGCTACTTTGTAGCAGACAAATATCTCATGAGTTCCCTGAGTCAGGGATTAATGCGCACATGTACAGGTTGGTCTTCACCTAATTGCCATTTTTTCAAGTGCAAATATTTTGGGGCACAATTTCCCTCCCACAGTTTGTGTTACTTAAACACCCGAGCCATTGATTATTCCACGTATTATGGCCATAGACGTCTGGGTGATCTAAATCGTGTGTGAATAACTGCAGGAGCAAAATAGCAGGCTGTTATATGTAGCCTTCGTTTCCATCCCCAAAACCTGTCCATGCTGCTTTGTACCCTGGGATTCCAGTCTGCCAGGTTGCATGGGGCATTGTTTTATAGCCCTGAGTTCTTGAGAGAGGGGCCTCAGAAAGCAGCTCAGAACTGAAGTGGAGTGATAAAGGCATAGTCAGAATAATGGGATGCCTGAAGTCTGATATCTTGTGAACCACCATAGAGCACCTGCTCTACCACCACTGCTCAGCTTTCCCAAGGGGGAATTACATTAGTGTCTGTCAGTCACACCTGTGAAACTGTCACAGGCTCCTCAAACCAGACAAAACCACAGACTGTCACAAGCCAAGGGGTGGGATAGCTCAGTGGTTTGAACATTGGCCTGCTAAACCCAGGGTTGTGAGTTCAATCTTTGATCTGGGGCAAAATCAGTATTTAGTCCTGCTAGTGAAGGCAGGGGGCTGGATTCAATGACCTTTCAGGGTCCCTTCCAGCTCTATGAGATAGGTATATCTCCATATATTATTTCCCAGAGAGGCATCCTAGCATCCCAATAGGCTGAGCTACTCTGCTGTTCAGAGCAATGCAGTGCCATGGAAAGCCGGCAACTCTCCCTGTATCTGAGATCAGCTGGCATCTGAACATGGAGGTCCCCAGCCCAGACAAAGTGTATATGGCTTGAGAAAGGAGATAAAACTTGAAGAGCGAGGGTGAGGCAGGGGCAGAGCTAAGGGCTGGGCCAGACCAGCAGGGTATATCCTGAACCATAGTGAACACAAGGTGTCACTGAGCCCAGAACAAAGGATGTTCCCAGACAAAACACCTGGAATCAGAGTAAATACGTGTTGCTAATGAAAAGGGGAAAACACCCACTAGAGCGTTGTCTTCCAAGACTGACAGGTTTGTTCTCTTGGCACATGTGGAGCAGGGTTTAACCCTTAGGAGCCTGAAGATGAGTTTAAGGTGAGAGATGGGAGTGGAGCAAATGAGTCTCATTAGTCTCCTGCAGTCTCCGTCCCCTTCCCCTTTCACTCCCCTTCCTTGAATGAGAGCACCCCCCCAGGAGCTGACAAAGGGAAGAGAGCCTCCTGCACCCCACCTGCCAGACCTACTCCATCAGCAGGGAGCCAGGCAGGATTTATCCCAGGGGATGCTGACCTCTGGCAGCTGCAGGGCTGGGGATCAGCGAGGGGTGGAGCAAGTCTCCTTTGCAGCAGGGGTGTGGATGTGCTAGATGGGGGCAGCTATGCCCTATTGCTCCAGCACCCCTGAACATACCCACATGCCCCAGCAAATCAGCTGTTTTATTATCTGTCATGGTCCAGGACCTCCTTGTGCTAGATGCTGTATAAACACAGCAGAGATTATCCCTGCCCCAACAAGCTTACAACCCCCTCTACATTGGCCACCCTTAGGATTAGTGTAATGGAGCTGAGCTTTAAAAACCATAACACAGAACTTCCCGACTTTTGTGTGATTAAAATGATAACCTCCCTGTTGCTTAGGAACACAGAAATCACCAGGCTGGATCAGACCTGAGGCCCCTCTAGTCTAGTATCCTGGCTCTAACACTGCCCAGCACCAGCTGCACCAGGTGCAAGGATCCTGCATCAGCAGGTATGAAATAATCTGCCCCCACATATAGGTCCTGGTCTCTAATAGTTAGAGATTGGCTTAAGCCCTGGAGCAGCAGATTTAATATGCCTTCATAATTTTTGTTAGTAATAGAAGTTAAAACTCTGGATATTCCTGTGTCCATAGAACTGTCCAATCCCCTTTTAAAATTGCTAAATTCTTGGCCTCCACATCTTCCTGTGGCAGTGAGTTCCACAAGCTAATTACGCATTGTGTGAAAACATATTTCCTTTATCGGGTTTGAATGTCCCATCTTTTACCATAGACATTGAGTTTACACTGCACACGGCAATACTGTCCTCTCTCTGCACTGGGTCCCACTAACCTGAGCCTGCACTGATGTTCACAATACTTTACAATTCAGATATAAAAAGGTACCTGAAGCCATTTCTCTTTGGTAAGTTGCAGTTGCTCAGGTGTTGTTTGAAGCTGGATGTTTCTAGGCTGGTAGTGGGAACCTTTGAACCATTCTTATATACTGGGGGGTCGTTGTAATATTTATGCATGTTTCCATGAATGTGAGACACCATTCCCCCCTGCCATATTGGTCTATGAATAAATGCACAGGTGTTCACAATGGTGTTACCTACTCAGAATTGTATTATACATAAATGCAAAATGTATCATGTATGTTTGCCTACTGCTAAATTTAGCACTGAATGATCCCCCCATGTTCTGTTTATTGTAAATAGAGGTCATCTAGCAGAGATGTTCATCCCCAATTTTAGCAACCACGGAGTAACTCTTCCTCCACATTGTTCACTGTGCCATGTAGAAAATGCACATCCTCCTAGCTGGATGGGGCAAACCTTGCTCTGACCTAACAGGGACAGCTGATCGCTCAGGGAGGCCTTGAGAAGAAGCAAATGGGATACTTTGCAGTATTTGTGGCTTAGGACAACAAATGTCAGCCGCTCTCCAGAGCAGAATGACTGAGCATTAAAACATGGGCAGTGACGGATGGAGGGACAGATCCAGCAAAGGGCCCCCACTTTCCCCCACGTGCTTGTCTATTGTCTGCCCTTTACATTGCAAAACCAGATCCAAAACCTATTAGTTAGGCCCCTGGTATTCTAAAACACTTTAGACCAGGGCCGGCTCTAGGATTTTTGCCGCCCAAAGCAAAAACAATTTTGCCCCACCCCTGGCCCCGCCTCAACTCCGCCCCTTCCCCAAATCCCCAGCCCTGCCTCCTCCCCCCAGGCTCTCAAGCCTAGGAGGGAAGGAGACGGAGAAGCGGCACCCGCGCCGCGGCCACTCGGAGTCTCCCCCCCTCCCAGGTTTGAGAGCCTGGGAGGGAGGGGGAGACCCCGAGCTGCCGCGGTGCGCGAAACAGCTGATTCGCGAGCCGCTACTCGCCCCCCCTCCCTCCCAGGCTCTCAAAGCCTGGGAGGGA